TATATATATATATATATATATATATATATATATATATATATATATATATATATATATATATAGTGTGAAATTGTACAAGTATACAGTGCTTGATGTATATGTATTCTTTAAATTCAAATTTTAATAGGAAGCTATACAACATTATATTTGTGAAAATACATTAGATTAATCAATACTAAGTCCAAATCTGGAGCTTATCTATTGAAATAACTTACAATAATAGTACAAAAACTAGTACACCCAAATTTATGTAGAAAAATATTAAATACAAATTTAAAAAAGAGAGAAAATTAAGAAAAGCAAAAACATTGAAAACATTTGTTGAAATTTTGTAGTTTGTAATTTTTGTTTTGCAATATTGCTTGCGTTTAATTTTATTGGTGACTAAAATAATAATTTAAAAATATATTTGTTTAATACATCTTTTTTGTTGAAATGCACCAAATTATATGACCTATACTAAGAAATGAATAAAATGTACATTTTCAAAATGGTGTGTAGTCAATTATGCTGAGCACTTTATATGTTCAATTGTTTGTTACATATCAATAATATACTCATAATATTTTTATATGTAAATATATAATTTATTAAATATACAGTGTATATATATATATATATATATATATATACTTCACAATTAATTTATACAGTATAGAAAATAGATATTGTTTGGATTAGTGCTGCACAATATTGGGACAATTTGACATTGTGATATTTTTTTTTCTCTGTGCAATATATATTAACTAGATTGCTTAAATAGCTCTATTTGCCAGGTCACGTAATAAACTTTAGATTGACTGGGATGATTTTGTAGATGCAGTGCTCAGCATAATTGCATATATTTATTAATGTATTAGTAAATATAGGCAATGTACTTTGATGCATTTGAACAAAACAGATTTATTAAACAGACATATTTATTAAAATAATATTTTAATCACCGAACATCTTTAAAAATTGAAAGATAATACATTTAAACTTATGCAAAAAAAAAAAAAACGCAAACTACAAAATTTCAACACACATTTTTACATTTAAAAATATATATTTTTATTTAGGTTTATTTTAGGTCAGACATTAAAATATACAAAGTACTAATACATATAGATATACGCACTAATACAATTCACCAAATAAGAAATGATCAGGAAAACATAATTATACACTAAATAAGTATACAAATAAAAGGTAAAATACCACATATATAAACAAAGATATACAAACATAGGATAACAATAATAATAATAATAATAATAATAATAATAATAATAAAATAATAAACAACAACAAAATAATAAAATAATAATACAAATAAAAGAAAGTAAAAAAAGGCAATTAAGTTATAGGTGTCTCCTTAAAAAATGTAGAAAAGGGCTCCAGACTTTCTGGAAATATTCTGGCTTTTGTTTTATTGTGAACTGAATCTTTTCCATTTAAAGAGCATGTAGGAAATCAAAAACCCATTCATTTATGTGTGTGTGTATGTATATATATATATATATATATATATATATATATATATATATATATATATATATATATATATATATA